CAGACAAACACTGCCCGTCATGTGCTTTCAACCAGAGAGTATTCTATTGCTTTGTATCAATCAGCTAAATGAATCTCATGAATCTCATTACCAGCTTACAATGACAGTCAAGCACTGCCCGTCATGTGCTTTCAACCAGAGAGTATTCTATTGCTTGGTATCAATCGGCTGAATGAATCTCATGAATCTCATTACCAGCCTGCAATGACAGACAAACACTGCCCGTCATGTGCTATCAACCAGGGTCATTCAAACGCTTGGTATCAATCAGTTCAATGAATCTTATTACCAACCTTGAGTGAAGGTAAAACGCTGCTTTTCATATGCTCAATCAGTACATGCACATTTCTTATGAAAACTTGACAAGCAGCTGGTAAAGATTATACACGTGACCGGAAATGACGTCAGTAATAGATTGCTTACACGTCGTTTGCTTTAGATTCTAGAAATCCAGTGGCTAGCATTTATTGACATACCCAGTGAGACAATGGCTGGGGTTATTTCTGTTCCTCTCTGGACCACAGGAACTAAATGCATTGATATGACATACTCGAGGGTGAGTACAATTTAGAGAGGGTCCTGAAGGGGTAAAATTGGAGCAGGTGTTCGTCATTTTTGGGGCCAGGAAAACGGGATTTTTATGGCACTGGAATTGGGGTTCACAAACGAAAAATACTTTCAACAAAATGGAAATGGGATTGAGATTTGAGCAAAACACGGGGACTGGGTCTATGGAATTTGGTCAAAATGGGGACTGGGAATTGGTATTACAACCCCACCTTCAGGACTTTCTTTAGATCGTAGGCCACTTTAAAATAATGGTCCGGATTTTTTATTTCATCAATTGTGCGACATTTTTTTTACTAGGGGGAATTTGGAATGTAGTGGCTGAGCTACGATTCTGATAGACCTCTGGGACGTAATTTTTCCCCATTTCAAACCACTTGTACGTCATTCCCTAGAGTATTATTTCACTGTTTAACTGTTGTGCACGAGAAAATACAAGAATATGGATACAACTCAAAGAATCTTATTAGTGCGCGCGCAAAGAAAAAAACACTGACCACAACAACGACAGGGCTGACAGGACTGACAGTGTAAACACATGCGTCAAATTGTCCACGAAATTGTCTATACTTAAAAGAATGATGAGAATATGCTTTTCAGCCTTTTTTTCTGGTTACGAAAAACAAATCATTATATACTCATATTTCCATTTTTCACCAGCTTTTGACTGAGATTCCTGTGGTGTTTGTATCCGCGCATCATAGTGGCAGTCCTGGTAACGATCATGACGTAACCAGCGTTTGGGCTGAGGACGTAACGCCTGAAGACTTCAAGATTTGTGTTCGAGAAATGAAAAACTTTGATGGAATACATCTACTTATCAAAGTGGTGAGTGAGAAACGAAAGAAATAGGATAGAAAAGAGCTAAACCCTTTTTTATTAATCTATTATTTGCTTTTTATTCATTCATTTATTCATTCCTGCTTTACAGCGCTCCTCAATCACACGCGCGAAATCTTACAATTTGCCATCGCGACGAAGAAGGTTTTGGTGGGCGTCAATCAATGCGTTTCCATGACATTCCATAAGCACGTGGCATCGAAAGCTTTGTGTTTTCCAGCAATATTATGGAAATACTTCGATTGACGTCCACCAAAACCTTATTTTGTCGCGATAGAAGTTTTTACGATTTCGCGCGCGTGATTTAACTCCTTCATTCCTATCCTCCTCCTATTTTTCATTCATTTCTTCATTTCCAATTTCTTCCTTCCTTCTTTCTTTCCTCTGTCCGTCCGTCCAG